TAAATCTTTATAAATAAAAAGGTATATATATATTATACGTGCAGCTATTAAAAGTAACATTACATATGAACATTATTTGGGAATACTTGCAAAAGAACATCAAATTATCTTACATAGATATGAGAATATTATAGTTAATGTTTAGAGAAATGCCATTTCCGATACATTAGACATCTTTAAGAAAGCGAGAAACTATTTAGATAAAAAAAAAAAAAAAATTGAAATTTCCCTGCATTATTGCTATCGTGTAGCTTGAATTTGATGTTTTTTTGTACAAAATTACACATGATAGTTGAGATACATTAATACGTTTCAATCTAGAGTGAATCTCGAGGAAATATAATTTTATAGATGGTACAGCTTATGAGATACATTGAAATGTGTCGAAAATATGAAGTCGTGAGAAGCAGAAGAGCGATGTACTTAAAAAAAATTTTGCTCGTCTTCCTAAACAATTTTTTTTTTACTTATAATACTTATGTATGAATAAACACAATTGCTACATGCTTTTCAAAATATTCGCCAGTTATTCACTTTAGAGGAAACACGAAAATTTTTGGAATTAGCAAAACGTCGAAAGTTGATGACCACTATCTTCCTCGGGACTGACTCTTTTGTCATTTTAATCAAGTTTGCAATGATTTATACAGTTATATTTAAGTAAATGAAGGCATCACACGAGATCTCTTTGATGTGCATCCCTCGAAAGTTTGAAACGGGTCGGTTTTTTTTTTCCTCTCTTGGAACATCGTGTAAAGAAGGAAAAGTCTTCGAGAAGCGAAAGAGTAATAATATCAAACAAACAGCGGAGGAGAATTGGCACGCGTTGCTAATTTTTATATGAACATTTTATCATATGTACATACATTTACATCAAAATTCACGATATGCAATGCATCGTTTGAATACGTCGGATGTGTTAACATTGCAAAGGTACTCGGAACGTAAGAAAAAGAAAAAAAGGATGATACGGTGTTATGATCGAATGATATTCGATGAATATTTGATCTTAACAAAAGAATTGCGTGACTTTGGCTAATCATTAGTTGTCTAATTGCATTTCTCCCTTTCACGATCGTATTTCAGAAAATTATCCCTTTTGAGAAACAAGAATTACTAATTGAGAGAGCGAGAGAGAGAGAGCACGCGCGCAAGAGAGCGAGAGAGAGATTGAGAGCGTGAGCGAGAGAGAGGTACAAAATAAGAAAAAAAAAAAATGGTGCAAGTATTTTACTACAGTGACCTGGCAGATTCCGATATTAAAATATTTTGCGATGAGAAACGTATGAACGATTCTTCCCGAGAGAGAATATCCTGTGCAAGATTCTCTTCTACGTCGACTTTTTTTATAACTGAGATTTTAGAAAAAGGAAAAAAAAAATACGATCGTAGCGATTCGACGAGAAAGATTATCGAACGGTCTTACGATCTGCTAGCAAAAATCTGTTTGACAAGTAAAAAAGGGGTGATCGTTCTGCTTTTTTTTTTCCTTTTTTCTTCACAGTGATTTATGTTTTTCTTTTTTTTTATTCCGTTAATTTTAAGTAAACTACCGAGGCACGATAATTTATACAGTTGCATTTATTTTGCATGCACATGCTAAAAAAAAAAATCGTGGTGCGACTCTCATATCTTAATTTTTTACGCGTAATGCGCCGGTGTTCTTCGCCTCTGTCTACATTTACTCTATTCCTTTTTGTCTTCCTTTTTCAATTTTCTTTTTCAATTTTCTTCTTTTTTTTTCGTTTTTTCTCTTTTTTCTTCGTTTTTCTTTTTTCGTTAAATATGTTTCGGCTGCGGAAACTTTTCCGTAATCGCGTTAGACTATTTTCGTTTGTTTTTGGAAATCACAAAAATCGAGAGAGAAAGAGACAGACAGATTATAGAAGGAAGTAACACAATTTCGAAGCACGATACGGCATGGTAAAGGAACATATGTAAATATAATATATATATATATATATGTTTTTACAAGAAGGTTCGATCTCACAAGAACGATTTAGTTGCATGATGAGATGATAATGACGGTGATGATGATGATGATGATAATTTGTCCATCGTGATTGTACTGCAGCAAAAAAAAAAAAGAAAAAAAAACAAAGGAAAGGAAACTTTTACATCAATTTATTAAAGGTATAACGATTGTGAGACTGATCGATGTATTTAGCAGATAACTTTTATTTACATACAACTATTAGAGATAGGCGAGGATATATTGTACCATTCGTGCATATATTATTAATGAAATTCTAACGATAATAATAAGATGAAAACGATGACTGCCGCAACAAATATATCTCGTTATCGCAATGATTAATTATATACATACTTGTATGGAACATTTGTACATAATATTCATATGTTAATTACTAGACTTTAACGTACCCGATTCCAATCATTGTACCAACGATACATGGATGATATTCTTATTGTCGATCGATTGTCCCGTTGCTACGTTTTCTATTTTCGAAGTAAACGCACGCGTGACGCAACCGTTGGGGGGGATCGATCGAAAACAGTAAAGCAAAATACCGCCACCTTTCCCTATACAACTTTGTAATAAAACGAAATTACTCTTTAAGGAATCTATCAGTCACGCAAATTGTAGAACGATAACGATATTGTATTTCGCAAAATTATCGGTGGTGACTGTTTTTTTGTTTTTTTTTTTTTTTTAAATATTCCAACGCACGTTTTACTTCGATTGATCTTTTTTTTTTATTTATAGAGCAATTTCTATACTTAATATAGATTGTCTATGGTACGTTCCTCCTTTTTCTTTCTTTTTTTTTTTCCACCTTTTATGGTAGTTGTGTTTAAAAAAAAAACCGACATGGTGATTTTAGAAAGATTAAAGCAAAAT